GCCAGAAGGTTAGAGGTGTTACAAGAGAGTAACAAACATAAAAAAGAAGGAGGGGAGATAAGGATGATATATTTTTTATAGGAAAGAAGAAGTAAACCACACCAGAGCACCCGCCAACCACCCACAGAAGTACATCGAAGCAATGCTGCTGCTGTAGCTGTGAGAGTAAAAACGTCAGAAAAATCTTGAAAACTTCTGTCGTTTAGATTTCGTAAGGTTTTACGGCACTCGCAACTGCACACGGTCATATGAGCGCCAAGGGGTGGATGTCAACAGAGAAGTCCAAACGGGGAACCAGGCTTACTCTGCGCGCCTCTCTAGCCTCAACAACACAATAACGGACACTCTGTGCAGGGAAACAGGATGACAAACAAAAGGAAACACCAGAAGTTTATTTTTAGTTTTAGTAAGAGTTTTACGGCATTTGTAACGCAAATAGGTTTTTTTTTTAAAGCGCCGAAGATGGGAGGTGTTATTAGAGAGTAACATATCAATTTAAGAAGGGGGAGAGAGGAGGACGGAAGATGTGTGATAGGAAAGAAATAGCACATCACATCAGACGTCCAAGCCTAGTAAATGTGAGGCAGCGTGGTGGAATCAGCCTCTCGTCAATTTTTGGGCATGAAGAGTTATTGGTATCATCGTAAAGCTTCTTCATTTGTCTTTATTTGAATTTTAAAAAATATCCATTTATCTTGAATACAAGTCGAAATATTTGCGAAAGAAGGAGGTGGGGGTCACCTATTTTCAGAGGTAAAATTTGTAAGAAAATGGCCGCCAAAGATTAGTTACTTCCTTAGCTTAAAAGTCCACGGTAACTGAAAATTTACATTTTTTGTACCTTTAATCAAAGTTTTTCAGAAAAATCCACACAGAAATGAGTTCTTTCAGAGGCATGAAAGGTGTTGAGCCAAAAAACAAAAATTTAATAAAAATTCACAAAACCGGCGGAAAAATGGAAGTTTCTTCACTTTGATTATTTTGACGAGAGCCTGATTCCACCACGCTGCCTCACAAATAAAGAGCCTTGTAAACTCCCGTAATCTTCTGTTGCTGGGATAGAAAAACGTGAGAACAAAACGGTTCACCTCTGACCATACTGTAGGATTTGTTAGAGGGAAGAGGAGTGCATAGACACAATGGTTTACCTCTTTTTTAAAGTTAGGTTTTACGGCACTTGCAACACATAAGGTCAAACAAGTGCCGAAGATTAGAGGTGTTACAAGAGTAGCAACCACAAAAAAGGAGGGGAGGTAAAGACGATAGATGTTGGATAGGAAAGAAGAAGAAGTAAACCACACCAGAGCACCCACCAACCACCCATGGTTTACCTCTGACCATAGTGTAAGATTCGTTAGAGGAAAGAGGAGTGCACGGTCGCAATATCGCCGCTCTTCCTGGGACAGACAATAAAGGTGGGCAAAATCCGGATCAATGTCCGAATAATCGGATAACCCTCAATAAAACATTATCCCAGTTCAGACTCTTAACTCTCTTTCCTGACCCATTTGCCGAAGCGGTTAATAACATATTATTATTTACCGAAGAAGTGCACTAATATATTATTCGAATTTTGCTAAAGCGACTCAGTGCCCAGCACTAACAGACAACGCTACAACACAAGTGAGAACTTCAGACTACATAGTTGGGTCCCACGCTGGCGCCTTTCAGCTACGCGCCGACAGTAGGAATCTGGGAAACAACTCCTTATAGTTATTGTGCAGTCACAGGCAAGTTTGATAGAACGTGAGGCAGAGGCAGACAGAAGGAAAAGATACTGGACAAGATGACAACACGGCTGGGAGCAGCAAGAACGACAGACACCATTGCTGCAACGCAAGACAGAGTGAAGTGGATGTCCATGATCGCCCACGCCAGTCGGCCAGGCACCAGATGATGATGATAGTGCAGTACAATGCAGTGCAGCACAGTACAGTAAACTGCAATACAGTTCAATACAGTGACCTGCAGTTCAGTACATTTTAGTACAACATTATAGTGCAGTGCAGTGCACAAGAATACAGACGTCCCTTTCAAGACTGTCAAATTATTATAAATTGCTGTGTCTCCGAAAAATTCAACGACCATCTCCTAAAGGACCAAGCCCAATAAATAAAGAACCTGGACCCCCCCCCCCCACACACACACAGACACCGTTCTCAGTCCAGAATTTCTTACTAAAAGTTCCAACTACATGTATATTGAGAATGTGTCTAAAAAGAGATGATGCCTGCCTTGACAACATTCTTTACGGGTTTTTTTTCACTTTCTCGGGTTCACAAAGACCTGATGTCGATACATGTATAATAATAAAACATAATACATAGCAGTTAAAACTGTACAGCGCAAATTATCCCACTCAGCAGCAAGCTCTATGCGCTTTACAGTCTGGTATATTTTTTATTACCGCAGCAGACCTGATAACATTCTGAAACAGTCTCAACTCAACTTACTGGGAAGCATACCATAATATATCATGCAATATTGACAGAATTCTAAAAACAACCCAAAAAATGGGGGGAGAGAGAGAGAGAGAGAGAGAGAGAGAGAGAGAGAGAGAGAGATAGAGAGGGGGGGGGGGGGGGAGAGAAAAAAGTAGAATCACTAACCCTGCTAACCCACTCAAATGAGAGTTAATAAAGGATCGTTATTATTACAGAAAACTTGTATTTCTATCTGTTTCATTTTTCTTTTACAATTAGACGTTCATGTATTCTGTCACCCAATTCCGTATTTTAACTCTTATTGAATGCGGTGCTCACAAATAAATAGTAGCAGTAATTAAAGGAGAAATCTGTAATTAAAGGAGAAATCTGTAATTAAAGGAGAAATCTGACAGCTCTTCTAAAAAACCCACCAAAAATGACATTCTTTGTATAGAAATCTCATGGGTTTTTGAAGAGTTGCTGTTTTAAAGTGTATAATTTCCTTTTTTACCGATTGATTGATTGATTGATTGATTGATCGATTTGTGGATTGATTTGTTGATTGATGGATTTATGCAAGTGAGTAGAGACCTTTACGAAGGACTCGCTGTCGTAAAATGTAACTAGCTCAGGCTTAACATAAATATTTCAAGAACAATCTATGAACACACATTTTAAAAAAGTCAGAGAAGCTTGACTGAGAAAAGCGGCAAATCAATAACCCCCCCCCCCTCTAATCTGCTACATCAAACAGTAGCAATATAAGAAATAAGCGAGTTGTGAATTAGAAGCATTTGGTTTGTACACCGAGATGGAAACAATAGAGAGAAAAAAGTGACAGGAAATATTGACACATTTGAGGGAAAATGTAAAGCAGGGAATAAAAGACACACAATCGAAAACAGAGGGAAAAAAGGGAGGGGTTAAAGAGTGTTAACGTAAGAGGAGGGTTCAGCTAAGACAATTTCTAGCTCACTAACTGCGTTGACAATTTCGGACCAATGATGTATCGTTTTATTCAGGAGTGGCACTACACCAAGGAGTGAAAATGCATGTGACTCAATTTAGATCATCCAGGAGGCGGGCTTCTGACCCTGTCTACCAGGGCCAACCCGGCATCCCAGCAGACAGACCAGGGCTGAAAGGGATACAACATCCCAGCAGACGGACCCGGGCTGAGAGGGATACAACATCCAAGCAGACAGACCCGGGCGGAGAGGGATACAACATCCCAGCAGAAAGACCGAGATACTCGATAACAATTCTCCCCACTCGGGAATCGAACTGGAGTCTTGTATGTGCGACGGTGAAACACATGACCGCTACACCATAAACTCCGGCGTGGAAACTAAGTGTGACCCTTTGAATGACGTCATGTCCTTTACTGGCAGGGTCGGAAGTTTACAAGCAATATAACAGTATAACACGGATAGCTCGAATTCGTCGGGACTGGCCTCGGTAGTTCAAAAGATTCGTAGTTCGAGGAATATCTTACAAAGATAAAAAGAAGAAAAAACGGGACCGCAGGCACAGTTCGACGGATGCGTGATTTCGAGTCTTCTGTGTCCGACATATCAGTGTTATACTGCATATGGTCGCTTTTAAGCACAAGGGGGCTATCCTGAAAAATACTGTTTTGAGAAAATCGAAGGTAAAGTTTTTGGACCCTTGTTCAGCTTCTTTAA